AACAAGTCTGAAGATAACCCATTCAGGAAGCCCATATTAGAGTCAATGAGGCAGATGAGAACAAAAACACAGAAAACATAGCCCTGCAGGTAAAAATACTCATGGAAAGAGGAAGCTTGAAAGTGGCTGAATAACTTCTTTGCAAAAGAGGCAAAAGAACTTGTAGCTAAATGTTTGCAGAAAAAAGCAGAAAAGGGAACATAGGGATCATTTACATTTTTATATTATATCAGGTGGGCACACAACTCAACCGTCAGCTTTCAATGATGATAGAGATACATTATGTCATTCTGGAAAAACAGAACTTCCTGTGTCAGGAGTGATATATTTGTTTGGGGTGGAATAATCTTTTTCCCATCATGAATGAAATGAAAAGAGAGGATTACAGTATCATAAATTCCTAATCAAAATATTTTCTGGTCTTGAAACTGCAAAGCTTCACTACAACTGACAGGCAGCAGATAGTCACAGTTGCACATTTAAATTTGAATTCTCTGGAACCTTTTGGGGCCACCCAGATCTGTGCATTTCAACAAACAAATCTCATGAAGGTAGATAAGCACCTAGCCAAAGTAAATAAGACGGCGTCATCAGTCTTTTTCCTTTGCTCTTTTTTTTTTCTTTTCAGATGCAAAACATCTCACGGAAATGAGGTAAAACTCAGTCACGGGCTCAGAAAACCTTTTACGCGTACTGAGCCAACGACTAATTCTGTACAGAGGGAGCTATTTGGTCATTATTCCATCAGTCATAATAGCAGTGGTGGAACCACTGCAACCGTAAGTTTTATAGCTGAAGTCAAGTTTGAATCATTACTTACACTGTGTTGCCGCTATTAGTGACATAGGCCAGCCCAATGTAAGTAATGACCTTCAGTATACTTTTTTTCCTATGTGGCAAATTTCTGTAACCAAAACAGTTAAAGTTTTTAAGTCACTGATTCTTACTATTTGGTTATGCAGGCTTGGCTTCCATGTGGAAGTTGCACATATAATTAATTTGTTTTATGCAACCAACAACTCATTTAAATAATCTTGAATGGTTTGTCTTTTTTCCATTTCTATATCTACATTGATATATTTATATTTATATTGATATAAGGTGGTTGCTCCATCTATCGATCCATCCATGCATTCATTCTCTTCCGCTTATCCTCATCAGGGTCGTGGCTGGATCCTATCCCAGCTAACATGCCACAGCGGGGTACACCCTGGACAGGTTGCCAGCCTGATGGAGGGCTCACACAGAGAGACAGACAACCATATGCTCTCATATTCACACCTATGGGCAGTTTTGAATCACCAATTAACCTAGCCCCACTAACTGCATGGTAGCTGCAGAGAACCCATGCAAACAGGGAGATAACACGGAAACTCCACACAAAAAAGGCCCCAGACAGATGGTGGAGTCAAACTCAGGACCTTTAAAGTCGCAGATACTGGACACCCATCTTGACACAACCCTGAAGGAGATTTGTTTCCATTTGGAATCAAACCAGCAACCTTTCCCTTGTCAAGTGAATATGTTAACCACTACAGAAGTACAACTGCAACGAAAAAAGGGTTCCCAAAAAAGTCCTGTAGTATTTACATAATGTAATTTTAGTTTAGTGAGTATCCTCCTAATTAACCACTGGCTGTGTAGGTTGGCCGGAGGGGCTGACCAGACATTATCTTTGTCCACCCCTCGCCTACACCCTTGTAAACAAGTGTAAACAACTTGTTTACAAGAAAAAAACTTACAAATTACTGTGTTTTATCTATGAATAGAAAACACTAAAATCTACAAGTGATGCAGAAAGTTGCAGCATGTCCCAGACCATTTGTTTCTTCTAATATCATTTTATCTAATCTCATCTAATGCACATATATCAGCTACATAAAAAGAGAGAAGTTCTAGATGTAACCTTATAACCTGCAGAAGCAGTTACTCTGGTATCCTGCAGGGGGTCCTAAACAGTAAGTCAGCTTCTCCAGGTCTAAACTGCTGCTGCTTCTGCTGCAGTCATTGTTCTTCCTAAGGTGACCCTGGTTTGATCAAAACTGAAGGTCCATAACTGCACATCTGAAACGTGATAGTACCGGCTATCTTATTCTAGTATCTACTGTTACCCAATGCAACTGGACAAACACTCCAGTACATTTCATCACTTGAAGATGTGAAGTGATTGCCAAGTACTTTGCAGCCTCTCTGACCAGCACTAATACTGAGCTTTGTCAACAACCTTTAATGCAGTGCACCTACTCATTATAAAATTCAATAATGCAACTTAATCATGCCAAATAATTTAACATGAGTATGTTTTTAATAAAACAGTGTGCATTTGCACAACCCAATAACATGTCCATTTGAGTCTGAGTACAATCAGCTGTTTGACTCTGAGTAGATATGCATCTATAGACTCTGGCTACAGTGGAGGGCTTCATTTCCAGTGAATTGTTGGCTCAGAGCTGCCCTCTGTGTGCATACCTGCGTTTCTACATGAGTCTCTGCTTGTGTGTGTCGTTCCTTTGTGTTTTTGTTGCTTGCAACTTGCCTGCACCAGAACGTTCGGATCACAGAGCTTGAAATATGTACATTCGGTGCCAGGATCCTTTGTATTACAGCACATTGCGCTGTTATATGCAAACGTGTCATGCAAATAGACGCATTTGCTGCAAACGGAAATCAGCTTTTCCCTCTCTGCGATCTATGAAACCAGCTGTCACTTTCAATCTCCTAGTACTCTTATTACTGCTCAATAGAAACTCTCTTGGAAGCTATAGAAATTTCCAGAGTAGTCACATGATGTCTACCTTTTTTATAGTTATAGTGATGATTAAGGAATGCCTCTTGCTCATCTCTGATCAACTAAAGTGCATAAAAAAGAGGAGACTTCTCTTTTAAATCAGGCAGAAAGGAATGCACATTTACACTCACACGCCTTGGGGCTCATCCTGCACCAAACATGTTTTTTGGAGTGCAGAAGGAAGACTAATGGGGGTTCCTTTATCTGTTCAGCTGTTACGGCACACTGTCCAAGATCTATCTTAAAATTTAATTTCTATTTTAGCTATGCATGAAATGTGACAAGAAAAGGGTATACCGAGTTAAATGTGTAACAAGTACTCTTTCCACATATGTAAAAATGTAGAACATATTGTTACAATGATTTAGATTTTGCTTAGCAATTGCTATCATATTTATGTCATAAATTACCTTATAGTTAGTTTGCATTGATGAAATTCTATAGCTGACTCTTATCAGGCTATAATGAACCTCCTCTTTAATTTAAATGTCAAAAGAAATCTGTTGTGTGTTTGTGTATGGGTGCACATGCACACATGCAAGCAAGTGGAGGCATGAGTGTGTCTAAAGAACATTCACGAGGTTTTCAAACATGTCTTCCTGCTCTGATTGATTTTTTTCATTGACCAAGAAGATGCCAAACAAATGATATTGGAGACACTTTAAGCAGCCTTTTCTGGTGCACTCAGCTCTAACTAAAACATTCGCACTTCAAAAGATCAGCTTGCAAAAGCTGTTCACGAGACAGAGAAGACGTGCACTGTCACAGCTTTAATGAGCTTTCACACCTTAAGCTCCAGGACAAAGAAAAAAAAATAAATGAAAGACTAATGAAACTAAGGTTTTCAAATGGGAAATTCCCTCTCTCGTTAAGTGCTGATTCATCAGCTGGCTAAATTATCCCAAAACAGAGGGATTTCACAATATTGCACACATAATCAATTAAAATGCTGTCTTTATGGGCATATTTCAAATATCGACAATAACAGGGATACACCTTAATGTGCTGTGTGTTTTCTTGTGTTCTTAAAGTCGGATCAATGATACTACCTCTAAACGAGCCGAAGCCTTGATGACAAAGGGTGAAAAGCTTCTCCAGCTTAGCCTCAACCTTAATAGTGGCACTGTGGGGACACCTAACATAGAATTAAATGCAATTATGAAAAAATGTTTCCAACCCAAGAGGTGCCTGTGAGAGAGGAAACCATAGAAGCTGCATTCATTTCACACAGCCCCAGGTGCCGAGAGGATACGGTAGTCCTTTTCATATTGGCAGCTGTTTGATCAGACTAACAGCGCTCCTTAGCCATACCATAGCTTCAGGTCTGATCTAAACTCCTCATCAAATTCAAAGGAGACACCGCGTCTCCAATACACTCCGGGCTCTTTCCATAAACACCGCTGAATTATTCCTTTGAGCACCCCTTTTTTGATAGTGACGTCCACCTTCCTTTCACGAGGCTGAAGAAATGTTAACTACCTACCAACTACAAATTTCACAGCGGTAGATGCGTAACGATATTGGACAATGTCTCCATATCTTCCAGCAAGGGTGTGAAATTGTACTGTGAGGGCATCTGATAGCTTGTAGATCAGCTGCGACTGATAGCGTTCTCTGTGGATTGTGGGAAATAAACAGGGAAAGTAGAGGGCAGCGAAAGAAAGAGAGAGAAAGAGTTCATCACAGACACTGGCAGTGAAAGGAGATGTAGCTTGCCTGCCTCTGTGTTGTGTGTTGATCATGGTTATCGGACCCATGCTAGATGACTGATAACTAAGGTGTGGTGTTGTGTAATGTGTGTGTGTCTGTGTATGCCTGTGTGATCTGAATGACTGCACAACAAAGAGTCTGAATGGATTTAGTCAAAGCTCAAACGCTGATGCAGCTGCATTCCTGGAGCTTTATGATGTGAAACACCAAAGGAAAGGAAACAATGATCACATTCATAAGATGTCATTTTCTTCCACTTTTATCTGAGGAATTTCTTTAGTTTTTTGCCCCCCTTTTTTTCATAACGTAATGTGTTCACCTTTTCCAAACTGGGGCCCTGTTAGGAGGTTTGGTTTGAAAACCTGACCCCAGTCTCACTAGTAATGTACAGTATGGCTACTTTGCAATAACAACCATCCACACATCCACGACTCAAATTCCAAAAACGTTAGAACACTGTGTAAAGTGTAAATAAATACAGAATGCGATGATTTGCTCATATTTTATACATAATAGAAACATAGAAGAAGTATAACATTTTTCAAATGAGTAAATGTACCCTTTTGGGAAAAAGTAAGGCAATTTTGAATTTGATAGCAGCAACACAGCTCAGAAAAGTTGGGATGGGCCCATGTTAGTCCAACAAAAGTGCAGCATCCTCTCTTCTTTTAACTGATTGTACACATCTGGAAACTGAGTCTGGGGTCTTCTTTGTCATATTTTTGTTTCATGATGTGCCAAATGCTTTGAACTGGTGAAAAGTCTGGACTACGGGCAGGACAGTTCGGCGCCCAGACTCTACTACAAAGCCATGCTGTTGTAATAGATGCAGTTTAGCACTGTCTTGTTGAAATATGCAAGTTCTTCTCTAAATAATCAAGTCATCTGTGAAGCTTATGTTTTGTTTATAGTTTATACAACTTCTTAATTATTTGGCGAATGGGGTTGTGGTTAGTTGCACTGAAGTGTTGTATTTTCTCTTTATGGATTAGAGTGTGAGAGGCTTAGAACGAGTTGAGTGAGTCAGTAAATTAATCTAAACTCACCATTACTTTAGTTTTTTCAGAATAACATAAATAACATTTTCCATAAAGTCATTTAACAGTGCTTCAAATTAGATGTGTCTACCTTGAACCTATAATTTAAAATATGTAGATTGGGCTATAGATTTGTGACATATCAACTACTGTATGGCTGTCAGTCTTGTCAAAGATTAAAATTAAGACTAAGTTTGTGTAGGAGAATTTTAATTTATTAATTGAATGCTCCAGAATTACACATGCTTTTATGTTTATGAGTTTGTTTCCATAAACCTACCCAGTGCAGAGAAATTAAGAAACAAAATCCTCTGTGAATTTGATGTTACCTTTGCCTTGTGTCCAATTCGTATGTTGGAAATTACAAAGGAAAGAGCAGAAAGCCACTAAAAGTTGTTCTGTGGTACTGGTCATCCCAAACACTATCAGACAGTTGTACTGAAACAACATCTCCCACTTCTAACTGCAACACCACACCATTGGATGCATTGTCCTCAGGATCGGTGGTTGTGGTTTGACGGTCCCCAATGAAAACCATGGCATCAGAATTTTTGACAAGTCTCATCCTCATATTTTTCTCATAGTGCGCTATATAACCAGTAAATCTAAAGTAGTAGACTCCTCTTACTGGTGCAGTGAAATAACCTAAAGAGAGAGAAAAAAGTCACAACTAATTGTGGTGAAACTAATGAAACCAATAATTAAATAGAAGCCTAATCTGCCTACCTGTGTTTGGGTTGTAGTGGTTTCCAGTGTTGGTAAAGACATTTCTGAAGATGAGTGTTGCAAAGTCTAAGCCATATTCAATGTTACCTTCACCAGATTCCAGGAGGGAGGCAGAAAAAGCCACCTTCACTACTGTGGCAAGAAAACAAAATAAGTAAATAAATAAATAAGTAAATAAATAAAGTAAACTCAGAATCATTAATGATCACCCACTAATTAATAATAATGGATTGGATTTATATAGCGCTTTTCAAGGCACCCAAAGCGCTTTACAATACCACTATTCATTCACTGGTGGAGGCAAGCTACAGTTGTAGCCACAGCTGCCCTGGGGCAGACTGACAGAAGCGAGGCTGCCATATCGCGCCATCGGGCCCTCTGGCCAACACCAGTAGGGTACGGTAAGTAGGGTAGGGTAAAGTGTCTTGCCCAGGGACACAACGACCAGGACAGAGAGCCCAGGGATCGAACCGGCGACCTTCCGGTTACAGATGCGATTCCCAACCCCCTGAGCCACGGTCGCTGATTTATGCTGATAATTATTCATCTACTTCTTGTACACTTATCAGGGAAACAGAAAAGTATTTATCTCTGTTAATATTTTGAAGCTCTTGCGCTGTGGTATTTCCCCGTGAAATCACAAGATACACATGAATAACCAATCAGTCAAATCATTCCATACATCCCAAACCGAAGCTTTACCTTCCAGCTGTTTCTCCAGCATTTCCACACGAAGTTCACTGACTGTCAGCGTCTGCCTGATAGCACGGAGCTCCAGGTGAGCTGCTGCAAGCTCTCTAGCTTGAGCTAACATGATGAAAAGGGAGATAAATGAAATGGAAGTATATTGTGAAGGTTTACAAGTCAGAGAATAAACACCAAAAACCCTGACCCTTTACCTTCCTGCTGTTTCTCCACCTCCTCCACGTGAAGTTCACAGACTGTCAGTGTTTCCTGGATAGCGCCGAGATCCTGCCGAGCTATTGCAAGCTCTCTAGCTTGTGCTAGCATGATAGAAAACACTTTAGGAGAAGTTGAAGCAAGTTGTAACAGTTTACGAGTAAGTAAAAATGAACACAACAATACAATATTTAGGGCCGGGGGCATTTAGTTACCATCATTCTTTATCTGCAGTTCTTCAACCAGGATCTCAGCTGCAGTCATCCTGGCCTCCATGACTATAACAAAAGTGCATGTAAGCTTAGTTGCATCTATTTTTAATGAAGTGATTCCCTCATCACTGTACCTGTATTTTCTTTCTGTAAGGCCTCCACCAGGCTATCCAGAACTGTCACTCTGTCTTTCAAGTATCTAAGCTCTACACTTTGCTCCACCACCAAGTCTCTCAGAGCCAACAGCTCAACCCAGATGTCAGTCTGAAGCACCTGATCGTCTTCACTTCCCTCAATGCTGGGCCTCTGTGTGCCAGCCAAATCTATCTCATCAGAAGAATCATTGTTACTGCTGTTTATTTGGGCCCTGCAAAGATGGCAAAGCAGGAGAAGCATAAATGAAGCCATGAAAGTCCTCATCTTCATTCACGAAATGCCCTGTTTGCTGTGAGTGCCTGGGTCATTTATGGGTGATTTCAAGGCCAAATGTGTCAGGTGGATGGAGATTTGCCAAATGTGTGAGAAAGATCACAGCTACTGTAGTGTGGCAGGTATGGGATAGACAGGTGTGTGACTCAGACTTTTAAACACATATCACTGAGTGGATGTTGCAATGGAGAGCTTTGAATAGATAGAAGTTTGCTGATAGGTATGCCCAGCTCTCTAAATGACTTAAAATTATTTTTACTATTAAAAAAAAACTATATAAATACTTAGATATCAAAAAACTCAAATGTTCCACAGAGTCAGAGTTAAATTTCTTGTTTCACAAGCTTGGCCAAATAAAGATGACTCTGATTCTGATAGCCTCAGAAATTTTCTAGAAATCCTCGAGCAACTGTTGGTGTCAGAGTGCTGTCACAAATGAATTAAATAAATTACAAAGGAATACTATGCTCTGGACAGATGAATCAAAGGTTATCAAACTTATTTGAGATTAAATACAAAATTTTTCAAGAAAAAAAAACATGTAATGTACATGTAATAATGTATACATGTAGTTCACCATTATCCATGACCTACTTTCAGTGGCAAACACTGATATCAGTGTCCAGTCTGTGCAAGAGAACGGGGTACATCTAACTCGATTCTGTCAATAACACCGCTTGATGTAAACACGGTGATCATTTCCAGAGGCTCTTTTTGTCTGACAGGTGTCGTTGTTTCCCAGAAGGGATCTGGAATTATCCTCAAGTCCTTTAGCGCAAACGGGCGTCCACACAGGTCTTTTGACTACCCGCAAGTTATTGTGACGAGCTAGGGAAATTTCCCACTGCAACAGGACCATTATGTGGGCGTGTTGCTTGTGAGTCATAAGCGTGTGCATCAGTGACAAGTTAGACAATTAGAGAGAAATAACAACAAATCAATCTGTCGTTAAAAAAAATATTTCTTGAAGCGAATAAAGTGGTGTGAATGACATGATTTATGCTGATTGCTGCTTGTGTTTATGAATAAGAATATTGAGCAGCTGTCAGTCAGAACTCCTCACTGCCACGTACAACTGTATTCACACCAGATAAACACGCAGTCATCAATCTTTCTAAGAAAACACTCAGATGGTGGGAAAGAAAACACAGATGAGTAATAATGTTGTCCTTAGTACAGCAAAAAAATACCGGATAGTTTCGCTTTTTACTGTTCATACAATTTTTCTATCTGCTTTTCTCTGTAAAAATTAAAGACCTGTCATGAAAAAATCTTTGCTGTAGGGGTAAACACAAACAAATGTGCATATCCCACAGAAGTTTTAAAGAAGAGGGCCTTTTTTTGGAAAGAGAAGATAGAGTTTTCTACCTGTGTGCCGCAGGGGGCAGAGATAAAGACAGTAATAGTTAGACTGTGGTCACACTGGTATGCAGACAGTCATGAAAGCAGCAGTACCTGTTGCATCTTGCAAGTTCATTTGCTCAATATTGTGAAATTTAACCACTTAAATTGGGGAGACCCTTTCTTATCACAACTCTAGGTGTGTGTGAATTAGTTGCAAATTATTTTAATTACAGATTATCGACTGATATACAGTTGTTTACTTGTTACTGATCAGTATCATCTTATCGTCAATTAATTGTATATGACTGTAAAATGTCACTGTTTTGTGAAACCTTGTAACACTTTAACAAATGTTTAAATAATAAACAAACTATACAGTTTTTTTTTGTTTTTTGCTTCATTTTGCTAAAACAAATTTTTTTTTAACTGCACTGTAGTAAACCAGCCTACACAACATATCTTATCTTTTGCCCCGTATCTGTAAATACACAGCTGGTTGGTTCACAGCCTACAGCCATGCTAATGCTAACGGCTCTGTGGGACTGCAGTGATATGAGCTAAAGGCTAAAAAAATGTTAGCATGTTACAAAGGACAATTCAAAGATAATCATCAAAGTTTAGTGTGTTAACCATATTACCATCTGCTAAACAGCACCCACTGGACACTCTATTAGGTACACCTTAGTAGTGTCAGGTTGGATCCACTTTTACGTCCAGAATGGCCTAAAAAAACATTCCTGAGAGATTTTGGTCATGTTTCCATAATGAGAATAAGGGGCCCAAAGTGGGCCAAGACAATTTCCCCTAAACTATTACATCACCAGCAGCACCAGTCTGATTCATTGACACAATGCAGGATGGTTCCATGCTTTCATGTTGTTTATGGCAGATTTTGGTCTCTTTTTCAGACCATTTTTTGTAAAGCCTAGACTCAGTCCATTTAAATACCTAAATGCACTGAGTTTCTGCAGTGTGACTGGTAAGCATATAGTTCTGTTATTACATTTTTACAAAGTCTTAAAAGTATAGAAGCTAAATCATTTAAGTTAGCTATAATGTGAAAAATTATTAAAGTTGGAAATCACACACACACAAATCACTCACACACACAAGACCAGTGTGATATAAAAATGTGATAGTAATGTACCAAATATGCATGCCACATCACATTCAGTGATAACTGTTTGTGGTACAGACACGCACACAGACAGTGTTGCAGGTAAGTGTTCGCTTATTTACGGCAAAAGTGTTTTTCGCTTAGGTGCTTCCCCAGCTTTTCAGCTGCTTTGTCTCCAGCTCCGCTCTCCCTTGGGTCCCAGTGTCTTACAATCAAATGTGGGAAGGTTTAATTGTTATATTGTTCCCAGCCTAGCCTCCCTGGCACTCCTCTCCAAACTCACTGCACCACCTATTCTGCAGACTACACCCTGCCACACTGTCATTTTATCGAGGTGGACAAAGAATTTTTTGAAAACAATATAAAAAGTAAGTTAATCAAACCTGCATGAGGGTTACAGATGATAATAACAAATATTTGCAAGGAATTTGGATTAAATAAACCTTTAATAAAAAAATTTATACCGGTGTAATCTTACTTCAGTGAGTCAATACAAGACACTCATAAAGAGAAAAACATGGTTTGTAGTGTCAGAAGTCCCACATGCCAAAGATATCTGGCATTACAGTCTGTCAGAATGGCAGTTAACAAGGCAGCGCATCACTTGTGACTTCTATCCCATTGGTTGCTCTCCCAGAGACTGTTGCCAAGGTACTGACCTGTGATTTAGACTCTAGTAAATCTTTCCACCCTCTGAGGTCAGGCTGTTCCTGAAGCAATGACTCTTCCTTTCTTCTGTATCTGCCCTTCAGGCCCAATCTCATATCCAGGTCTCTTCCTTCTGGTCTGCTCAGAGTCTGGAGACAAAGCTCTGTTAGACTTTTCAGGGCATGCATTGTGATTAATTCTATTCCCATAAATGAAAAATAGATAGTGAAATATCTAAGTGTGATAGATGACAGCTTGGTTGAACTATCAGGCGCCTCAAAGTGACAGGCACCCTTGCATACCTTCCTTCATTTTCCTCTCAGGCAAATTCCTCTTCCTCTGTCTCTTCTTCAAGATTTCCCAACTCTTCTCTTGTGTGTGTGTGGTTTTTTTTTTTAAAATGTTTTCCTTTAACAAAAAACAAGCATAATCTCTTGCTCTGAAGTTTTCTACTATTATTTTTTTTCTGACTTTTAAGTTTAACCAGATAATCCTGCTATGCTCAGCCTGTGTCAATGCATTCACCCACAGGTCAAATCCTTTAAAAGATTCTTCTTTTGTCTCTTAATATGATCCAGATTTTCTGTAAATGGTTAGTTATGATACCCTGCATAATTGCTGTAATAGAGATGCTGACAAATCGTGCAACCTATAATCATACATCTTTCAGTGTTACAGGTAATCACTTAGCAAGCTGACCAATCCCTCTAGTCCCTCTTCTGTCCAAGCCAAGCAGAGAGGATGTGTCTGTGCACCCTGCTACTGTAAGAAGTGGACTTGACTGCAGGTACTTAGCCTCAGCTTAATCTAATGATGCATACTTCCCCCTGTTTACGGCAGCCGGCGAAGAGGGAGCACTAGCCTGTGCTTGTCTGCTGCCGAGAATGCCCATTAATGCTCTTTTCCCCCTCGGGTGATGACCACCTGAGCTATCAAAGACAAACGTGTCTGTAACACCACCCCCCTTCCCTCCACCCTCATCATGCTCCATCTTCACCCCTCCTTGCTGTGACCGCCGCCCAGACACATAATGTACAGTCAAAACGGTTTTCCCCTGTGAAAGAGCATTCAGAATCTGTGCAACATCATCATCGTCACCATTATCACCAGTGTAATAGTGATCTTTTCAACTATTATTTATCCTCTGCAGCTACACAGCAGTCAAACTGGTACATAAAATATGTTCAGTACAATCCAGCACAGCAGCACCTTAGAAAGGAAGATATCATCTCACCTGTTCACTCACTCACACAGCATCTAGCCAAGCAGATAATTTAGGTTGTATTTTCTGAGTTTTTAGATGTTGGTGATTTCTGCTGCCCTTTTAATTGAACTGAGGATGTAATTTTGTTTGCAAAACTGAAAAATATTCTTAATTTGTTTTTGTTTGAACTTTTTTATTGAATCTTTTATGCAGCTGTCCATCCTGGTACCTTCGTCTGTTTGTTAAACCTTTTCTCTTTTCACTCATTAAATGGATTCTGGAGCAGATTTCTGCACTGAAATCATTACAGGTTTGTATTATTGGAGCGCAGAAATAAAACAGATTATGTTTTATGATTATTAAAGTAGATGTCGAGGACAAAGCTAGCAGAGAGAGAAAAATAACATGGTACAAAGGTCCCTTGACAGAGAGCCAGATGGTGTACTTCACTGTTGGCAAGCAAACCTCACGCACCTGTGCCATTAAAACAGGTACTCAAAAACAAATGTTCAAAACTGACCCACTTTGGGTCAACTCACTGTTATATTTATTGATTGTTGGAGTATGATGTGCAAATCTCCATAGAAATCATACTTTTATCAATAGAAAGTCTGTAAAACAGTAAAACAGTCCAAAAGATAAAGACAAAAACAAATATAAAATCAAGTGAAAACACCATCAAAGAACCAATATAAGTTAACCAAGTATTGATTTGATGCTACACCGATCAGCCATAACAATAAAGCCACTTTCCTAAATTTGTGTGGCTCCAAAACAGCACCAATCTGTTGAGGCATAAACATGAAGCCTCTTTGAGGTGGGAGCCAATTATTTAGCTCTTGTGGATTGTATGATTTAGTACAGCCTAAGGGAAAAGCACTGCCCATTCAGTTTCCTAATCTACACAATATTATTAATAATCTTTTCAACACAGTATTATGAAGATATGTGCAGTCATGTGAAAAAGATTTTAAAAAAATACAGCACTCTACACAGTCCTGTGAAAAGTACACTGTATGATTCACCAGCTTCATTAATGACTATCAGTCTATCTCACACGTCATTGTGGAGGAATTTTGGTCCACTCGTCTTTACAACGTTGCTTAATTTCATTCAGGTTTGCAGACATTCATGTTTGCACAGCTCTCTTAAGGTCCTGTGACATGATTTCATTCAGGCTGACGTCTGGATTTTGACTGGGCATTTGCAGCTAGCACCTCGATTATTTTCTTTTTCATCCATTTTTGACGTAGATTTGCTGCTGTGCCTGAGATCATTGTCCTGTCTGTAGCAGTCTGACAGATGGCCTCACATATGATTTGGTATGGAGAAGAATTCATGGTTGACTCATTAACCACAAGGTGGCCAGGTCCTATAGCTGGAGCATATTCCCAAATCTTAACCCCTCAACCACCATGCTTTACAGTTGGTTTGAGGTGTTATGCTGACATGCATTGTTTGTTTTTCACCAAATATGGTGCTGTACATTATGATCAAATGTCACCACTTTGGTGTCATCTGTCCAAAGGACATTGTTCCAGTTTTCTGGTTTCTTCTGATGCACCTTAGCAAACCTAACTTGTGTCTGAGCTTTGCAAGATCTGGCTTTAGGGAGGCTTTCCTAGGATATTTGATTTGATTGCTCCAGACCAGCAAACTGCCAAAACTTCTGCTTTTGTAGAGGTGCTCAGACTTGTTGATGATTAATAATTTAAGTGTATTTCATTAGCACCTGACTGCTACTTATCCTTTAAATCCTAATGGTATCAGTAAAGGTGTAAAGGGACTGAACACTTTCTTTTTCCCATGATGAAAGACATTTGATGCATGTTAAAAAATATTCTTAAAATAAAGAAATATTAAATATATATTTATATATACATATAATGTATATCCTTTACCTTCCTTTTTCGAAGTGGATATTTGGCAGATATGTTACAAAGCACATCTGGGATCACTGAGCCTACATGTGTCTCTATTAGAGTGACTTTCACCGCTATATTGGTCACTTCCAGAACTGCCCATTCCCATAACTCTCTTACAGTCCATCTTGCTTTGTCTAGAATATTTCACAACTTCCTGTCAGTATCACTAAACCCATAATAGATGTGTATATCTTCCCCTGTCTGGGATGCGTGATTCACTGTCCCTGAAACCCAGCACCACCTAATCTTGAACAGCAGATAAAGCTAATTAGGGGAAAGAGACATCAATCAGTGCTCCAGGCCTTGTTATGTAGGCTACTGCACATACCAAGAGTGGCATCTCAGTCAATGGGTGTGTTTAAAAGCTTGAGTCAGTCATACACACATAGCTATTATTATGAGTTATGTCTAGAGGATGGCCCAGAACTTGAAGATTATGAATGCTGGATTGAATGTTTCCTTTATGTTTTTCAAACTAGCCAGATATAATAATTTTTGCCAAGTAAGTGGACTAAAATTAGAGCAAGAATTACATAAATTACTTTTCTGTTGTAATGACCTTTGACAGTATAACTCATGTGGGAGAACAGTAATCTGGCGAGGGGCTCTGTTTGGATGCGCAGCATGCATTAATACAGCTGTCAGTGAGAAACACACGCCCTTTCCGACGATTACAGCACGTCCAGGAGGTTCACTGAACTCTGAGCAGTGACAGATTGTAGCTTGGGGGGAAGAGGAGGGTTTTTTTTAATATACTAAAAGTGATTAAAATGTATTCACAATTAATGACCTTCAGTTTTTCTTTAGAACTTGTTGTGCAACTGTTGCTTTAGAGCCAACATTAGAGAATGTAGCATTTGTTTCATCCTGTAGGTGGGAGTGTAACACTTTCTATTTTATAAACTGCAGCAGCTGTAATGTGCAGAGTCTGCAAGACCTCACATGTTAAAATGAAAAGACTACGTTTTTTATTAAACACTACATGCCGATTACATTTATGAGCCATAAACCTGTATGTTGATCAACCTGTGTGTAATGATGGATGCTTATCCTAAGTTCTCGCAACTATTTAGACGAATATGAAAGCAGGTATTGGTATTTTCTGTGTCAGGCAGTGTATATTTTAAAAGGTTAGCTGGGGAATAATGTTTATAATATACAATGTGCTAGATATTATTGGATGCATAATAACAGTAGTTTGACAGGTGAAAAGAAATTATTTTAAAAAGCATCTCAGTGAATTAGACAAATGAGCATCTGCTTTTTGAATTGATAAAAATAGTTTTTATGTGAAATTATCAATTTTATTTAATGTTACTGGAATTGCTGTGTACAAAATAACAAGACTTTTTCTGTCTCAGTTAAAAATGCAAACACCACTCACCTTTGCAAATACAAATAGACCAGTACTCACCAAACCATGCAAGTGGTTTTTAAATATTTTACTAAAATACTTTGTTGTTTATGGGTTTAGCATAAAAAATATGATACATCCATCCATAATATGTCTGAGAGGTACAGAGATATAAAAATGTAACATACAATGTAGGATTAAATATATTTTGCATATGCATCAAAGACAGAACAAAAGCAGCAGTACACAGTAAAAGAAATGGGACAGCTGTTCACAAATCATTTTTATCAATGCTATAAACCTACAAATTGCCATTTAACGCAATGATATCAGCTGAAAGTGGATATATAAAAAGTGGCAGAAGCTTGGTCATTGTCTATGATTTTGCAGAAAGCGTCATTTTTGTGGTATTTAAATATTTCATATCCCCAAATGTGTTGTTTCTGACTAAGACTTTGAATATTTTTTGAAAAGATGTAATTTTTAAGTGGCACAAAGTAGAAAGCTTCTTTCCATAATTTCTATAGCCATGCTTTAATAATAACTTCTGCTGGACATTAGTGACAGTGGTATTGTTAAACAGCGCTAAAGATGAGTCCTAAGGAATTGCTTAAAGGTCCATATTGGCCACAGCACAATTCCAGCTGTTAAAGTAAGTTGCCTGTGATGAAGACGTATATCCTTGCATGGAAGGTGGTAAATGTCCCTTGTCTCCATAGCTTCATCTCTACGTTGATTAGGAAATCCCTGGGACCCTGAACTTGGCGGTTTAAGAACACGGCACCCGTGTAGGCATTCAGCTTCCTTGTGCTGAAGTAGTTTTCCTCATTTCCGCTTGTGATACTGACAATGATGTTGTCTCCGGAATAGACAGGAGAGGGTCCGATGCGGAAGATCTGAGCAGGGATGATGATGTTGGATTGGAAGCTGAGGTAGTAGTAGGTGATTCTTAGAGGAGAGTTTTGACACTCCAGGTAGTTAGGACAGCTGATTCGCTCACAGCGCCTATGAGGGAGAAAGAAAGGAAACCTTTTTTATACAGCAGCTTTATCACCTTCCAATAGCAAGACACTTCAAAATGACTTTAAGACACATTGTTTTAAATGCACACTGGCTCTGCTTTGCCAATGTAGCTCCATATCTGAATTTGTGATAGGTAAAAAAAAAAAACAACAACTACATTTCAAAATTATTCTATATTTATTCTGTACTTTGTGTTGTGCATTTGTTCATTCAAACAAGTCATTTTGACTTACAGGACACCCTGTGTTTAAGGTATAATTCTTCTAATTGGTTATCCTTCACACACAGAAGGTTTAAACAAAAGACAGGCTGGGCTTCAAACGCTCACAACCAGACCTGTGCACCTGAACTGATCAAAGTAGGGATATGCCATCCAAGTGACATCATACACAGCCTAGAGTAGAAAAAACTGAACAGAAAAAATTGAAAATTATAATGATGACCTTCTGACTGAGAGGGGTTATTTGTGCTGAGCTGATTTTTCAACAGTTGAAGTGATCCTTCCTAAAATTATGCAACTGCCTATGACCTCCCCTCCCACCCGGCCCACCCCAAAAAAACCATAGACACTGTAAATTTTTACAAAGACCAAATGAATAGAATTCTTTAAGGCATGTTTTGACTTACGTGTCAGACACTTTTCGGTAGTTTGCCGAACAGCTAAAAGAAAGGCAGCGGTACCCTCCTTGAATGTTGTAGCAGGTCTCAGCTAAGGAGCAGTTATTGGCCCCTGTGGCACACTCATCGATATCTAAAACAGACAGTTTATGCACAAGAGCTGGTTTAGTCACCGACTTGGTTAGTCACAAGGTAATGGAGGGAAAAAAATGTCCTTGTGGGGAAAAAAGACTATTCAAGCAAAAAATCGAATTAGTCTGACAAGATTTTTAGGCCAATAAAGTTTTACAGGCTGTGTAATTACTGCACCAACCAACAATTATATTTATCTGAGCAGAACCATTAGTGTTTGCTATGTAAGTGGGTGCTGATCCATTTTTAAAGTCAGTTTCAGGGCGAAGCTCGATGGGGCACACTTGCTCTGAGGCGGCTGCAGTACAGTGAGCGCATGCATGTTGTGGAGAGCTATTCACCTCTGCAAGATCGTCCATTTGGAGACATGGTATACCCATAGTCAGGGCAAGCACACTTGTAACTGCCTGGAATATTCACACACTTATAGGTGCACAGATGGCCAATGCTTTGGGAGCATTCATCAATGTCTGCATGACAAGGAGAATAAATCATGTCAAATTGATATATAAACTTGTCTAAACAAACGTTTTGTATAAACACGGTGCTTGCAATGTGTAATAGAGCATACTGCACCTTCACAGGTGTGGCCATCCTCCTTAAGGTAGTAGCCTTGTCTGCAGTAGCACTGGTAGGAACCATAGACGTTGGCACACTCCTGACTGCATAGGTTGGCCAGACACTCATTCACATCTGGGGATTAGAGGTTAGAGCTCATTACTGTCACAACTGACTTGATCAAAGCAGTTTCAATGTTTTTATCCTAACATATAAACAAGATGTTGTTATGAAGCCAATTATGGTTTTAATGGTTCCAGCTTGAAGGCATGGCATGATACACAGTACAATACACTAATGCAGCTAACCAGCACGTTGTGCTGTGCCCAGCTTTCACATCAGCTCAGCCTTACAGCCTGTCTATCAATGCATACAAGCATGGTGTCTCAATAAATACACAAAAACACATATTTTTATGCACAAATGCACAAAAATCTACAGTGACATGTGTCAGCATGCACAGACTGATGCAAACACACCCGTACAGGCAGACATTAACACATACACACCTTCACAGTTCTTGCCATCACCAGATAAGCGGAAACCAGAGGTACAAGAGCACTCATAGGAGCCTGGGGTGTTCTCACAGGTCTGGGCACACAGACGGCCTCGGTAGCTCCAACACTCGTTTATATCTGAAAGAAAGAGGCAGCATCATCATCATACTTAGATGAGTGCACTTTGTGTTTGTGAGTTTGCATCCATGTGTGCAAGTGCGTGCACGCAACCAGGCATGTGCAGTTTTGTTGTCCTGCACAAATACGTACGTGCCTGTGCGTGCTTGCGTGCATGTTAACGAGAGTGCGATGTGAGGGGACCATCTGTCTGCTGATAGTCTAAACACACGAGCAGAGTCCATTATTATGAGAGTCACAACACAGTGAGTCCCGAACAGAGGGAGCAGTGGCAGGATAAGCCGGGGTGGGACAAAGTCCTCTGCTGCAGGAGACGTGATGGGTAGCTCAGCGGCAGAGGCCAACAGCAGAGGCTGGGAAACAGCAGCAGCTCTCCCACAACAGAATAATAAATAGGGGGAGAAGAAGAGGCAGCCAAACCAGAAGGATTGCTGTGCAGTGGCACAAGGAAAAACAGGAACTTTTTCTTCAGATTACATATGTAATTTCCTTCATACCTACACACATCCTTCTGAATGAATCATACTGATAGCCTGTTCGGCATTCACAACGATACGAGCCAGGTAAATTGTGGCACAGCTGGCCTTCTCCACATCGATGTTCGTTGCTCTGACATTCATCCACATCTAAAAAAGGCATCATTTATAAACCAAAAAAAGGAAAAAAGGCAGAAATTATATTCATGAATAGCATTTGTTTAAACAAGACATGCATACAAGACATGTTGATTTTGACCTTAAGTCTGCACATGTAGGGTTGTTTGTTTACGATGCGTTTCAATACGAATCTTACCAACACATCTGGACCCATCAGGACTAGCATGATAGCCACGGCTACATGTTATCTTTCTGTTGCAAATGTAGGATCCCATTGTGTTGATGCAGTTAAATCCTGGACTGCACGGCTGGGTCAAAGCACCACACTCGTCAACGTCTGGCATTGCGGACACCACAGGGGGGAGGAAGATACGTTTTAAGAAAGGCAGGAGAAGAGGAAAGCCCCAAAGGCACAAAGACAAGGGTCCTGAGACCAGAGTGCAGCTTTTTAGCCACACTGTACAGCTGTGATATCAAAGCAACCACACATCACACAGTTGCATTCCTCTGGATAACTTTGTTGTTGTTTTGTGTGTGTGTATGTGTGTGCGTGTGTGTGTCAGAAATTTTCTCCATTTTCTCATTTCTCAGAGCATTTCTTTCACGCTCCTTTTATAGCGGCATCTTCTGCCTCGACATGCCTCAGTTCCTGCCCCTGGGGGCTAATTCCACAGCATCAGTTTGTACTGGAGGAGGACATAGGATTGGCTTTTATCCACCCTTTGCAGCCCCTAACAGCAACTTCTCTGATCTCATGTCTGTGTGGCATTTAACCCCTCTGTCACTGCAGACCTGCTGATTCACCTGCATGACAAACAACCGTGCATCTTCCCGCACTATGATTCACCTGTGGGGGAATTTCTGTTGGTGCATCTGCCCGGATTCACTCATTTGTTTGGAAACAAGATAAGAAATCTCTTTAAAAGGAAAAAAAAGAAAAAACAAACGATGAAAAAATTGTTATGGTTTGCCAATTTTAATGACTTCTCTCTGTGTGTCTCTTTTTCCTTGGCATCCTTTGTTTAGTTTTACCCGTTTAAGTTCTCTACATATTTATGGCTCACGTCTTCTGATTATCTTTTGTCAGTCTGTGTTGCCAGCATTCCCTGGCTGGTCTTTACCCCATGTTCCTGTGTTTTGGATTTAGTTTCCTTGCATCCTTGTTGTCAGTATTTGGATTTGTCTTTCTGATTTTTTGGACCATCTTCTGTTTGAGCAACTCCCCGATTTTAACCCAAGTTTTGTTCATTTAGTTTTATTTTGTTCATATGTTTATTCATCTTATTAGTAGTAGAACTCAATCAAAATAAAAAAATATATATATAAGCAGAATATTGAGGAAAAAGGTCTTTACAACTAGTCTGAGGCAGAGGATCTTGTTTTGAAACAAATGGAAAAAATAAAGCAAAATAAAAACATATCCAAAGACAAATATGTGATTAAAATCTGCAGCAATATTGATCATTTTGGAGTTGGACAAAACATAAGAGAAAAAGGTGAAACTGATGATATGTGTCTCTGTACATGTAGGAATGTTGTATGAAATTATATCTTTTGCTCACTTTTTGTAATAAATAAAAAAAATTCTATTACACCTGTAACCGAGAAAACACAGTGAACAAAGCGCTGCAGGTCTAGCAAGGACATTTTTTGGTTTCTCTTACCTACACACCTGCCCTGCATGTTGTGGCTAAAGCCCACAGGACATCGAGTTTTGGGGTTGCATCTGAAAGAGCCCTCTGTATTCACACACTCAAAGCCATCTCCACAGTTATGGGTTCTCTGCGCACACTCATTGATGTCTGTGGGAGAAGAGAGGGTTTAATGGAGAGAAGATGTAATAGCACATTTTACCACTGGATGGCACTCTGGTTAAACAGCAGATCGAGTGTTTGACTTTTGCTGCTGTTCATTCATCATAAAGCACTCTAAGTCAAGGCTAAAAGAAGTAATTACAACTTAGAAATCATATGTATACTAAAAAGCTGTCATGAACAAAAGATCTTTCAGGTATATTAACCTGATTAGCACATCTAGCCAAACCAACACAAGTCTCCTGTGCATTGCATGAGTGAACACCGCGTTATATTCCCCGAGAGTCCCACAACACCTGTCTACTCAAAGATTTACCTGCTGAAAATCAGCTTTTCACATCTGCTGCCACGGTGTGAAGCAAAGCTGGAGGGAAATCATACTCTCAAAATATTAAAAAAAAATACAGATGTGTTTGTCTATGTCTGTGCATGAAAACGTTCACAGTAGTCTTGTGTTTTCAAGTAGGTGTGCAGTATTTCACCACTGCAAATGTTGTAAAGAGGCCTAAACTAGTTCTGGCAGCCCTGCAGACACAGGGTAGGTCTCTAAACAGCAGATAGTGATTGAGCATCTCGCTCCTGACACAAACCTGGCAGACTCAGCAAGAAGCTGAGTGAGCCTGACACCAACAGAAAGACAGAGAAAAAGCAGGAAGCAGGATAAATGTGTGAGAGACTGGTAGTGATTTCCCCTCGCAGTGAAGTCAGAGGGATCAAGGAACCTTGAAAGGTCGAAGACTCCGCATGCTGCTGCGAGAGACGATTTAACCAGTCAGTTTTCTCCGTGTTTCACTTTTTTAAAAAATTAAATACAGTACTACTAAATACTGTAGAGTTATGTAATGCAGCCATGTTCAGAGGTCACATTTTAAAAAAGTTATTTTGACAAATTCTTGTTAATGTTTTCTAGTTTTATTCTCCCCATCCTGCTCTGGGTGCTGAAAATGAGAAATGTAATTTTTGCAGTGGAACGCTGGGTTAGCTGTGGGCTACATATGTTTTTAATCTCCTAATATTAAAATAATTTGCACTACAGAAAATCATGCTACATTTGCTGCTAGCTGTCTCTGTTTGCAGCTACAAATGCGCAATCGAGTGCTTTGTATTTGATAATGGGAAAAGTCTTTATTTGCTCATCACGAACCAAGATTTTCAAAATCAACGGCAAGACAGCGAGCACTAATGCAAGATTGCACAATTAATTTTCTGGTCTTAACTGAGTCATTCACTTCCCAGATGAGGGAAGAAAGCATTTGTTTCTTTTTGAAGGCTGAATGTGCTTCATTTGTGTGAGGAGGCTAAATGAGTGTTTCATTATAGCATTCGTGGTAAGACATTAAGTTGGAATAAGTAGCACGGCACAAAGACGTTTTTGCATTATCTTACCTAGGGCGAAACAGCCACATTCTTGGCACATTGTGTGACAAATTAAAAGAAAGAAAAGGTCTGTGTGCTTTTGACAGACTATCATTAATTTTGCTGGTCTGATTGCTCCCAACCCGCTTTGGATAATGTTGTTACTTCAGAGCCAATGATCTGTTTGGAGGCTTACTTTCTTCTTAAATGCTTGTTTTGCCCAACTGAAGATCCTTTACATTCACAAGGAATACGGATTAGCTGACTGTCCTTGCTCGAAATCCATCTGCAGTTTCAAATGCTACTAATACTGATCTTAGAGGCCCTTCTTCCTGAACACTGCTGGTGCTTTATGAAGGAGACCACTGCACAGGCCCAATTTATGGTGCATGGAAATAATGAGACGCATAGGGAGGTTTACTATTTCATACCAAAGTTGGGCACCACCCACCCTTGAGCCTGGAAGCTCTTCATACAGTTAGCAGCAAGAAATACTATAGAAAAAGGTAGATTCTTCATGTTTTGTTGTTTTGGGGTTTTTTTGTTATTCAAGCTTACTGTGTGCTTAAAATGTCATAATTACAGGGTGATTTTAAGGTGAAGGGCGAATACTCATAAGGCTTATAAAGGTGATTGTGCTGGAACAGTGCAGTTTCATTACATTGTAATAACACAGTAGTTCACATACTCCCTTGCTGCCATTTACAATATATTCACTGTGGATGTAAGTAAATACATTGATGCTGGTTAATGCTGATAAGGTGTAGTGTACCTTCACAAATGTCATTGTTGATCTGGTATCCAGGCGGACAGGTGATCAGTCTCTGACAGACATAACTCCCTGCAGTATTCATGCAGTGCTCATTCAGCTGGCAGGCATGTGGAGACAAACACTCATTTGTGTCTGGATTTTGAAAAGAAAGGAATCAGGACAAATGTGAGAGTGTGAAGAAAGAGAATAAACAATGAGAAGATGCACAGATTTAGAGAAACCAGACAAGATGTGGGGAGAAAAAAATGTCTTTGTCTGGTATCTGACAATCAGCAGTTTGACGCAGACTAAAGAGACAGGTCAGACCCTCCTCCAAGAGAAAGATCAGGAGTAAGACCACTGGGTATAAAATCCACACAATGAGAAATTTGTTGCCACAGTGAGCTGCTGTCACAGTTTGCTGCTGCCAAGTAGAGAACAGACCAATGGTTATAGCTTAAAGATAGATCCCGAGGGAAAGAGCTTACACACATAGCGCAGTAGCTGATCAGACTCAGGATAAAAAGGATAAAAAGTCCATTCTGAATGTAAATAAGAGGTATGGTATGCAGCTGCTAAGCTATATTGTGATAATGCATGGATAGTTGGGATAATCCCTTTGGAAAATCAAAACTTCTCCACTTATGTTTTCTTTTTCTTTTCCAGTTGGTGGCTAAAAGTGAAAGGGATTAAGGGCTGTATCTCCTCTGCAAATCTAGAGGTGCTGATGAGCGGAAGAGACAAAACAGTGGCAGACAGTCTTGCCAAGAAACTTCTCAAATGGAACCAAATGTCTGCGAGCTCAAGAAGAAGACTTAAATGAGTGCTGCAAATGCAAGCCGCTTTCACTTCTTCAAAGGTTTTCTGCATTATTTCAACATTTTACTTCCTTACCTTCACACGAGCGTCCGTCAGCTCTCAAAGAGAATCCTGGCGAGCAGGAGCATCGGGGCTGTCCGCCCACTGGAGTGCACTGTTGCTCACAGATGTTGTTTCCTGAAAATAATGCCGTGTAGTCAGGTCAAATGAAATGCACTGCATTATCATTACACACAGCACTACTTCAGCAGAAACAGAGGAGCGCTTGTGTTGGAGGGGGGGAAAAAACACTCTGTTTACTGTAATGCCGTTTGCTTATTTTCTTCCAGGTTTCCAGGTTGATTGCTGACCTGGTCATATTCAATTTCATACTATTGGCTCACAGTGTGGTGGACCTCCACCCTGGTGTCATGGAAACCAAACAAGAGCAACAAAATGTGACATGGCACTCATTATGATATGAAGAATGAATTACTAACACCAAAATGCCACTTGTGTTTGACATTTGCAGCACAATCACATGTGATGGAAAGGGAGAGTTATATTCAGCGGCATTAAGGTGGATGTTCCGGTCTCCAGATGAATGAGCGTGCTCACTATGAGCCGCCAGATCTGCAGCTCTCTCTCTCCATTTATCAAGCACTGCATTTCTAACCTTCACAGGGGTCGAGTAGGACCGACGACGGAAGTGGAGAGGTGGGTTCCACTGCTGCTCTGTCAACCTCCTGCAGTCTGTTCTCCTCATCCACCGCCTCTGCACAAACATGAGTAATGTCAAGACAAAAGCGAGGAATTACTCTGTAATCACAAATTCCACCTTTCCATCTACAAAGGTCTTCGAGACTTAGATGTTGTGCAATACCTGCGTTTTAGGATGATATGAGGCTAGTGGCTACGGATGAAAGTTGTAATAGCAATATAGGTGAGACAGGAAAAAACACTGCCTGCAGACAAACATTTGGTTTTATCAGTGAGGCCCATTGCTCACTGTAATTTGCTGAGAGCTCTAGCATTAGTATCCTGTTGAGACAGGCTTCTGTTGGTAAAAGCTAGTGTTGATTAAAGGCCGGTGCGTTGCACAGTCTTATCTAAAAATACTCCTGAACTGTGAATCTGAGCAGATCTTCACTTTTGTCTTGAAAAAAACAAACATTTCAAACAGCGTGGAAAAACTTTCGCAAAATCCCATTTGACGACAGCAGAGATGTGACTAATTGGCCATTGCTGTCAGTCAGGAAAGGGATGTTGTATGAATAGAATAATTATTATTAGGCACTATCAGGCCTTGCAGACAGGAAGGAACTCAATAGGCCAGGAAAATAATACACAGTGAATGTGTAGATAAATGGGCTCTCTCTGGGATGCATGCAGACTGTAAATCATTGCTTTAAAAAAAAACAAATGGCAGAGAGAGCCTTTTCCCCATGTGTTGCTATCGCTAGAAAGGTCTTGTGGTATTTAGTGTGACAGAAAAAGATTGGTGATCTTTACTTACCTTGCACGCAAGAGAAGGCGTCCTCTTGCAACACATACCCGGGGTTACACTCACACCGGAAGGAGCCTATTGTGTTAACACAGATGTGGTGGCAGATGTTGCCCTCATATATGAGACACTCATCCATATCCTCCACCTCAACAGGACTCTCCACCGCATTCTCCCCATTCTGGTCTTGACCAATGGAGAAGGCCTCTCTACGATACGGGTTGTCCGATACTACAGCACAAGGAGAGAACAGCTGTTACTCTCACAAGTCATGGCATATCATCAAGGACAAAACCTGTTAATTACCTGCAATATTTACATGGAACATAGTAGTAAGGGGGATTTATTTTATTAGTTTATTTTTGCAGGGCTGACTGCACAGGACAACAGTGTGACGGCTGGGGCAGCTGTCGTGTGGTGGAGTGAATGAGGACGCCAGTCGCAGACAGCGGCGGAGGTGCGAGCGAGTTTTATTTACAGTGAACAATAACTAAGGTGAGGGCAGAACAGAACATAAACCTAAACTGGGAAAAACTAATAAACAAACCTGGAAACATAAGGTCAGCGGGAGATACACAGAGATGACACGAAGAACGCAGGGCAGAGAGGGGAGGCGAAAAGCTGACTAACACGGCGCAACACAGACAAACCAACAAGGATCGCAGACTGACACTCACTATATATACACACACACAAGGCAATCAGGTAATGGCACACAGGAGGGGAGCACAGCTGATCCTAATTCACAAGACGACAGGAAGACACAAGCTGACACAGTGATAACAGACACAGACCTTCAAAGTAAAACAAGAAATTCACAAAGACAAACTCAGGGACACGAACAGAGCACAGGAGGGAGAACACTAAAGCGCTAAACACAAGAACCAAATCCAAAGCACTAATACAAAATAAGAAGTAACACAAAACACAAGATGAATCCAAAATGAAACACAAAACGCTGGGTCAACGACCCAGGACCATGACCAACAATCACATATGACACCGTTCGCATCCCAAACAAGTTCATCGGTGGGCTATTATGAAAATTAATCCAGTGCAAGATGAATAAAATCCACCAAAACACGTGCTGTATTTCTAATTATGCTGAAGATTTAGCCATGCAAGGGACTGAACGTCTATCAACCTATAGCAGCCAAAAAAAATCAGTGTATGGTAACTTCCAATAACAGTGTTTTACTAGAATAGAAATGAATACAGTGCAAGCAGGTACACACTAAATCTCTTATAATTATATTACATTTGGTTATTATATGTTTCTTTCAGCCGGTTTCTTTCTCAATATTGAAGAAATACCATGTTGATAAAAAAGATTGATAAAATAAAATGACCTGGTTTGTTTTTAAAACTGGTGCCAGGCACTGCCGGATTCCCATTAATACTCCTGCTTTCAACCTGCAGCATGCCTTTCACAATGTGAATTCATGCATGTCAATATTTGTTCAGAATACCTTTTTTTGGTGGTGGAGTAAAGTTCAAAGGAGGCCTTTCTCTGATAGTGTGCCGGCCATCTTGATTCACAGTCCTCCCCTCCTCCCCCTCGCAGCAGGTTAGAAAGATGTGTCTGCAGTGAAAATCCAGGTAGTGGTGGGCTTCGCAGCGATGCCCCTCACTGCGAAACTGCAGCCCAAGGGAGCAGCAAGTGCAGCACTCCTGCAATTCACACAAACAGCCTTTGAACGTGAAGTTGGGGTTTATGTAAGTTTTGAAAGTAGCATGGAAACAAGTCTAAAACCCACTTTGTGAAAAACAAAACATACTGTTATCCATCCCATATTCATGATTTGTTCTCCCAGCAATGTGGGTCTAATGATGGCAGTTTTAATATTTCAACTGGTAGGTCAGCTGCATTGCCAAACAGGGAAATTACATTTTTTTATTAATCTAATTTTTTTTTTTTTTACAGAGTATGGTCCCTGAGGATAATGTTTTGTGCTTTTAATGAGACCCTGACATCTCCTCTAGTAGCTCTGCAAATTGTTTTTTTAGTCAAATGTTTGAAATGGGACTCATTTCCAGAAACTTGGTGGGCATGCTTGCTGCCTATATAATTAATCTTACATATTTTCCCTTGACTCTTCATAGTGCCAGTAGCTCTAAATTATAGTAAAATATATCGAGATTTGTGCTGTACTTTGTGGATTTGTTTTGCAGAGACCTGATTAATGGTTTCCAGAGGATAAAGACACTCATTGGCCATTTCTTTAGGTTAATTTGTTCAACTGCTCATTAACACAAACATATAATTAGCCAATCACATGGCAGCAAGTGGACATGAAGTTCAAACTGAGCACCAGAATGATGTAGAAGGTGATTTAAGTGATTTTGGATGTGGTATTAGCACTGACAGAAACTGCTGATCTGCTGGGAATTTCCCACACAACTATTTCTAGGGTTTACAGAAACTGGTCTGAAAAAGAGAAAATATCCAGTGAGCAGCAGTTATCTGAACAAAAAATGCATTGCTGATGCCAGAGGTCAGATGAGAGCAGCCTGCTTCAAGGTGTAGGAAGGGAATAGTAACTCAACCACTTGTTACAACCATGTATTGCAGAAGACCATCTCTGAACATACAGCAAAATTAAAATCACACTGGGTGTTACTCCTGTCAGCTTAGAACAGGAAACTGAGCCTACAGTTCACACGGACTCAATGGACAATAGAAGATTGGAAAAATATTGCCCAGCCTGATGAGTCACAGTTTCTCCTGCGTTATTCAGATGTTGTGTCAGAATTTTGTGTAAAAATCACGAAATGATGGATCCATCCTGCCTTGCATCAACAGTTCACACCAGGGGTGGTGTAATGGTGTGGGCAATGTTTTCACACTTCACACCATCTGAACATAGTTTAAACACCACCGTGTACCAGAGTAATGTTGCAGATGACTGTCTACTCATCTTCTAACTTCTGCATCCAGCAGAGTAACACACCATGTCAGAAAGCTCAAGTCATCTCAAACTGCTTTCTTGAACATGACAATGAGCTCACTACAATCAAATTGGTTTCCATAGCAATCACATCTCAATCCAATAAAGCACCTTAAGGATGTGATGGAGCAGCAGATTGGCATCATAGATGTGCAGTGGACAAATCTGAAGCGACTGTGTGATCCTGCCATGACAACATAGACTAAATATCTTCAGCAAGTTCTTCAATTTATGCCACAAAGGATTAGGGTGGTTTTGACAGCAAAAAGGGGGTCTGACCTGTTACTGGCAGGATGTGAGTAGTGAGTGTATACTTGTAATGTTGGCAGTCACCTGAATGTTCCTGACTATTCCTCTGTTGCTACTGTTGCTATTTATGGGCTAGTTTCAGAGAACTGGTCCTAAAATTAATGCTAATCCTAAAATTTCATACACAGATTTATGTTCCCCTCCAGATAAATATCCCTTAACCTTTCCTCTTGTGCCATCATCAAGTCAGATAGTTTTCTCACACCGTGAAAATGAATTAGATTCCCTTAGCCTCAGATGTATTTGTGTTAAATACTCATTTCTAAATTCTTTGAAGACTTTTATTATTGTAAGCATATTAACAGACTCCTGTTAGCATTTAGCCAAGAGTACTGCTGTGCAAGAAATTCACAGAGCCACAAGCTTTTCATCTTGTTGGATTGATCTTTAGTAGTTACAAGTCTGAATTTGGGGCAGCTCTCCCCTTGTGTGTGGGCTCTTACTCGTTTTCCCTCTAGCTCTCAGCAAGATTACTGCTGCAAGTGCCCGGGAGTATGGGGAAACATAAAACTGAAGTAATGATTGCTGTGATGTAGCGTGCTTGTAGATGGAATAATATTACTAAAACTACAGGGGTTCCTCAAAAAGGTGGTGAAAGCCAATATTTAACACCTGTACAGTGCCAGTAATGGCCTCATGCTGCTCATGTGCCTCTGAACAGATGGGCTGATTTCCTTCAACAGGTCAGGTAGCAAATGAGTTACTTTGGGCATCTGGACATATTATGGTTACGCAGTCATCGCGAATGGACCTCACTGATTGCCTCAATGTCTCTCCTGCCCTGCTGCTTTTTTGACATCTTTAATTATGACGCCATGTTCACACAGTTTCATAGAATCAAAATCTGACATGTCCAATAGCCTAGGGCTGCTGTGAAGATAATAAAGTTTGCAAGACTGTGGGAATCTGGGGTTGTATCAGGCCCTAAATTAGTGTCTAGATTAAATAGGATCATTAAATAAAAAGGATTTGGCACAACACCAGTAAATCTCAGAGGACATCTACAATAAAATAAAATACTGGCAAATGCCGCGCTGAACTGTGTTTGCCAGGTTACCTGGTCACATATACTTGCCTTGTAATAATCAATCCCACATTTATTGCTGGCATCTTCTCTGCACATATTTCCTGCTCTGGCTGCATTCACTCCAGCCAAGCACCGACTTTCTCTCAGGGAACCGAGGCAACACTGTTGTTGGGCAGTCCTGACAGAGAAAAGCACACATGAGAAATGACTGCAGAAATGTCTGGACTGCAACTGTGGCCTTCCAGCGGCAACAATTCTTCCAGAGAGTGTTACCACAGAGCTGACAGGACTGTGTTTCCAGGTTTCTGTGAATTCTATTAGAGGGAGAAACTGAAATGAAAATCTTAATATTTAGCTCTGAGAATCATTCAGCAACACCAAAGAAAAGTGAGCTAAAATGTGATTAATCATGCAAGAAAACACCTCGTTGTAACGAAATGTGAAAATTACTTTGTCATTATGTCTTTTGTGGCCTTTAATGAGGTGAGAAATATATTCTTCTGATATGTTCAGTGAAGTAGATCGGTGTTACGTAATAATGCCCTTACAAGCACATCGAGTGCATATCTTTTGCGGGTGGTTCCATGTTGTTACAGTGACCATTAGCCGAAGCCCATTTCGCCCCTGTCTCACAGCAGGTTTTCAGCTGCTCCTTGGCAGACACTGTAATAAAACACAAACACCAAGATCCAGATTTATCCTACTCAGTGTGCCAGGGTTTCAAGCCACATAAAATAATGTTGACATCATGCATATCGCTGGATTCTAATTGTACATCATTTTTATCTAAGAATCCCGTCAGCGAGATGCTGTAAAAATGTGGTTATTGATATCTGAAATACAATCAAATCTCATCTCCTGCGGGACAGAGTTTGCTGGATTCGGTGACTGCACGCTGAGAATAGCAATTACAGTGTGTGTGTGTGTGTGTGTGTGTGTGTGTGTGTGTGTGTGTGTGTGTGTGTGTGTGCGTGTGTGCATTTCTTTTCTTTTCAGACTCCTTGACTCTGCTCTCACTTTAAATGGCAACAAAAAGTAGGAAACCCCAGACTCTATAAAATTAGCTTCAGAGTAAAACTGTTCTTTTTTTTTGTAAAATCCAGGTTGATGACTGCTGGATCAGAATAAAGGGATAACATATTAGCACTTCATTTTAAGCTGAGAGCAGACAGAGCAAAAACACATGATTCAGTTTACAGAGATAAAAAAAGAGCTTATATGTGTTTCCTGAATAACAGGGAAGCGCATTCCTGTGCTGATTTGTGGCCCCTGCACTACTGTACAAGACAAACCTCTTTGCATTTATGTCTTCTCAGCTTGTCACACCTTGTAAGATTATAAATATCATAAAATTTACACCTAGCAATGGCTATGTTTTCCTTTTTTACTAATCCAATTAACGCTAATTTTGAAAATAACATGTTCTTATCCAATTTACGTTCAAATTGAGACAAAAAAAATGCTGCTACCCACTCTATTCAATACTTGACGATATATTTAAGTCAAAGCAACTTGTGTTAACATTACATCGGTGGTGATGAAAGTTAGCCTTCGTCTTCTGTGCGAGATTAAGTAGTAATCCATTCTGTGTTTTGGAGACAATTCAGTTAAGTCTGAAACAAAGCAGAGGATACTAGAGCATGGTAAAAATTATTTATTTTATTTTTAAAGATTTTTTTAAAAACCCCTCTCAGAGAGCTCTAATTGGTTTCTTGCAGTATGGTCGTTTGGAAAATCAGCCATAAGTAAGGGCAGGGATCATAGAGAGGAAAGACCAAGCAAAAGTCTTTTCTAAAGAGATGATGCTCTGAAGAGAAATCAAGCATGCCTGAAGCCACTTTAGCTTTTTAACTTCCATGTTCACTTATTTTCATTGAACTATTTCTCTCTGACCTACCTGTGTAATAAGGCCCAAGCAATTACTCATAGCGGAGTGAGTGAATGCTGCAGTCTGCATAATTTAAGGGTTTAAAAATGAGGAAATCTAAACCTTGAAAGGCATGATGCCTCTTTGATACACAACTACAGTATCTGTATGTACGCCGTGCAGGTAAACAAGTCCTTTTGAACCTTTCTGGAAGTATATTAAAAGACAGAGAACGACAGGGAACGTAATTATTCACCCTCTCCTTATGCCTCCTATTCATTTTCTCCAAGTGGAATCACTCCACTTGTAACAAACAAGCATAAATTCCACATGTCAAATCAAAATGCGGGATGTATACATACAGCTCATCATCATGTTTCAAAAGGATTTTGCGTCTGTAGGAGATTATGTTTCATGAAAATAGCTACTGGGGGCAAAAACAATGATAAACTATATCAGCCAAACATGTATCTAGTCAAACCAAGTCTCTTCCTTTCTCTCTGACAGTCCTTATAATTAAGCCTGTGTAGAAACATTTTCCATTCAGCTGTGCAATAATTAACTAAGCTAATTATTGTGCTTCCACGACAGCGATTCAAGATGCACTTGAAAGGTGGCTTAGCGTCATCTCTCTGTTCCAGGCTTGTCATTAAATCTGTCCATTAAAGTAACATTAACACCAGATGCTTCACTTTTGTCTAAATCCAGAACTGGTGACATCACACCCTCTGAAAATATGAAGCTACAATAACAACCAAAATGGGCAACTCTCAACATGTCTGGAGGTGTCATAAAGCAGTGCGCTGCCACTAATCAAGGCTCGCGTGTCTCTTCTTTTGTGCACTTGGACAGGTGGGCTGAAGAGATCAGGACCAGCACTGAAGAAAAACAGCGCATGCCAAAGGTCGCCGACATGCAAACTCATGAGGCTGAACATGCCAGATGATTTAGGCTGAAAGCTTAAAAGCATGAGGAGATGTGTGTGTGTGCATAGGTTGGGGTTAAGCACCCGAGGAGGTGACACAATGTTCTTCCCCACTTCTACACGAGTACTTGCAGAGATATCGTGTCTTTTGAAACACACAGTCGCTATCCAAGAACAGCTGGCCGTGACATAACAGGGATGACTCGCATGCTATGATTTCATTTCCAAAACAGACATTTCAGGTTTCAATTATTTGCAACTTTGGCCTTAATTTCCCCCGAGACTGTGAGCCAATAATCGTGGGATTATTGGCTCACAGACTTGTAGTCATGGAAGCCCTGAAGGGTTGTCACATTGTTTGATAGTTTTGCACAGTAAACCCCAATCCAATTACACCTCCTTGTGGTAAAATAATCTGAGTGAAACATTAATACACACTTTCCAGGGTTGCCACTATTTGCTGCATTGAATTACTTTGAATTATAGCTTCCTAATGTTTCCCAGTGTTAACACCCATCATCACAGCCCACACATTTTTGTGTATTTTGAGTTATAAACAACATCTGCATCAGTGTACATTCCTCAGCACACCTCTATCAAATTATTTTCCACCGTCTTGTAATTTGAACCTACTTTCCCCTCCCTCATGGAGCCTTATGGATTCCAAGTTATGTTCACAAGCCATAACACAGGAAATTTAGCCATGTTTTGCCTGAGGAAATCTTTGGACCTGACACATAGAAATAACAGCAGAGAATAATTCATACCTAATTTGTGCTTTTCAATTTTTAAAAGTCCCATTAGAAGTAATTCTGTTTCTGCATTAAAGTATAAATGAAATATTTTGTGTAAAAGAATGTATGGACTGGAGGTGAAATAGTCAATTACTTCTTGGATTACATGTATTTGTTCATACGCGTATGTGTTTATGACAGAACTGCAAATGGGTGCAAGACACAAACCTGTTATTTTTCTACAATTTATCACCAATCTCCCTTTACTTATGCTGTGGGTGAGTTTTATGAGTGGTTTCCAGCATCTGGAATTTTTTTTTAAATATATTTATAATCATGGGTGACATGAGGCTCAGGCGGTTTTTTTAGTAAGCGGATGATGCGTATGGGAGACAAGCCAAAATTAAATGAACTGAAAGATACTTAGATTAATTATCTTCTTCAAACTGATCTTTACAGAAGTTGGAATGAACGTAGCCAATTCTGGATTTCACCCGCCTTTTATCCTAAGGAAAATCATACATTTCCCTTCCCCATGCCCACATGCAAGATGTTGTGACAGTTTTGTTGGCAAAAACAAGCACTACTCCACGTTATTTCACTTCACCTCTTATATTTCTTCGTCCTTTACTCTTGTGCCTTATCCACAGTTCCCGTTTTGTTTTGTTTTGTGGTTTGTGTTTGGTACAGCAGGAACGAAAGTTAGTGAGAGTAAATTTGTGCAGAGGTGCACTTCAGATGGAGTGATTACTGGGAAGATTACTGGGAAACCAGCATCCTCGTGAGAGATGGGTAATCACATGGACTCATGAGGGAGAAGCAGCAGCGCCTGGCAATCAAGCCATAACAGTAGGCTCATTCATCAGATGGGTATTATGCTGCACACAGGTACAACCCCCAAGAAATCCTATACCAGGTTAGCCCTGCATTTAAACAGTCTAAACAATTCCACCCTCCTTCTGAGCACATTCTGGATCTGTCTGGGAAGGAAAAAAGGCAAATGAGCAGGAGTTATTGTTATTGACTGAAGAAAGCACAAACACATTTGTCTTGGGCCGCAGCAAAGGCAACTCATTTATGTTTTGTGAAAAATGTCCGTGTTCTTGTTATTTATGTTTTCTCTTTTGCTGTCTAAATAACTTTGGCATCTTCAGCTAATTGCACTGATAAAAAAGCATTAGTCAGGACTCTTATCAGCTGGGATTTTTCCTGCTTGTGCTTGAAGTGTCACCAAACTGGACGTCTTCCTTTAGTCCAGTCCAGTGAACTCTCACTTCATTCATCGTGCAAACTGAGTAGCCAGACCAGTTAGTTCGAGCTCCTTATTGCTGGTGAAATACTATGCCCACTTAGACTTTCAGCTGTGTTGCATTATGTTTATCTTCTGTCTGTAGTGTCTTAAAAATTTCAATGTAAGGATAGACGACTCACATCCTGGACACCAGACTACCTATGGATACAAATAAAGTAACCTCTCTGTACATGAGCTTCACAGTTAGTTCTTGAAGTGCGCTCCAACAGAAAAACCACATAGATACATTCTGCATATATTGTGCGTACCTGTAGAGGCCAGGCGCTGAAAGGAAAAATTGGTTCTGACAGGTCTCAACAATAAATCATAGAGTTGGAAAGTAGCTTAACTACACACCTTTCAATGGCAGTTTGCTGGACAAAACACCAGGAATAAGTAAGATTTTTTAAAAGCTTCTCCCCTTTTAGGCATTTATAATTTAGTTCACCCACCTCATATAGGAGATCTATAATATAGTGAACCCACCAGTGCCTTAAAGCCATAAAGCGTGTAAAAAGTAGGTTTTCCTGAAATGAAATTCTTCACTAAACTCGAAGCAATATAAATTTGGATTATTAAATTGTAATTATTTTTTTGATTTACTGCATATATGTAAACTAACTTCACATATTCCTAGTGCTGTGTAACTTGCCTTTGACAAACTTCATCGTCTGCTTTCTTTCCAGTACTCTGACCAGCAGTATATGCACCGAAGGGGAACTGATCTGTTAGAGAATATGCTAATAAACACATGAAGGATTTAAGCAAGTGGTGTGGTCTCACTGGAGCAAAGCAGGGAAAATATGAGACACAGACTTATTCGAAGCATTATGATGTAATCATTTTTTGTTTAAAGCAGTGCCTGGCTTACTCTTTGTTGCTGTTTAGAAACCTCTAGAGAAATAAAAATAGCATTTTCTTAATGTGAATGTATGAAAATGAATATATACTAGATATAGTAATTTTCCCTTCTGAGTAAGGTAGATAAATGATATCTTGGGAGAACAGTCTTTCCACGAACAATTGTTTTTCCTGGATCCCTGCCAGATAAAATAGAGTGATTATAAATTCCTCCTGAAAAGAGAGAGGATGTGAGAGAAGGAAATGGAGATTTCCTTTGAAAGAGTACATCAGTACATCATCACGGTGTGATTTATTTTGAAGCAGGCCTTGAATGCATCAAAAACATTTCATGTTTCAGATTTGTTTTAAATTCAATACCTTCAATGAAAATTCACACAAGTAGGGATGCTTTGATTTATCAAAGGTTAGGATTACTTAAAACTGTGCGTTATATGTTAACTTACTTTCTGTGTAGGCCTCAGCATCTCGAGTCTGATAGCTGCTGAGTGTTTGAGGTTGTCTTTGATGCTCCTCGCCTTCCTCTCTCATCCTGACTGGAGCTCTTCTAGTGGGACTGAATTGAACTGTAGGGTATAACTGTCGTTCCTCTTTACCAATAAGCTGCCTGTGCTCCACTGCCTTTTCATGTCCTTTGTTGGAGACAGAACGGGGGTCGCCATGACTTTGTCTGTTGTGGCCAAAGGGCCGGCTGTTGGTACGCGCAGTGCGTGCTGTGTCTCTTAGAGTATCCTGTCCCGCTCTGTTTCTGTGACTGCCATGTTTCATGGGTCTTTCTCCAGTTTCCTGTTGTGGCCTGTGGTGCCCGGTGGTCACTATCTGTGTGGCAGTAGTTGCCTTTGGTGATGATGTTTTGTTTTCACCTCCTGTGGTAGTTGGATCCATATTATGAGTAACCTCATCCTCTGTGCTCCTTTGTGTGTTTGGGCTTTCTTCTTGTAGCCTGTGTCTCCTTTCATCATGAGAGCTGAGGCTAGTGGAGCTTGACTCTGGGTAAGCTGGTGGTAATGTAGTAGATTCCAGTGGTTGGGCCAGATTTTGGATAGTGGAAGATGTTGGCTCTGCCAGAGTATAGTCATAATCCTCTGTGCCAAAACTGGGTGGGTCCTGCTTGTACAGCGGTAGAGTGTTTTCCCTCACCAGCTTGGAAAATGGTTCTGCAAGACTCGTTTGTTGGCTGTTGCGATTGCCTCGAAAGTCTCTCAAAGGATTGTTGTTCTCTGTAGTTGTTACCGACATGGGCTTATTAACACTGCGGTGGTCACAGCCAGGGATGGGTGAGCACATTAACCTTCCACCTTCATCTGGACAGTGGCAAACTTGGCAATGATCTATCTGAAAGGAGTGCCCCGCTTTATACTTCTTGTTGCCATGGGCACAGCCAATACGACCACACTGCAGACATCCATCTGCAGGTTGTAAAATGTCAATGCAGTTGGGGGAAATTTCAGGGCATGGAATGAAATGACAGCTTATCTTCCCTCCTCCCTGAGGACAGGAGCACTCGGTACTTCCGAAATCCACAAAGTAAGATTTCCCCTCTGGGACTTTCCCATCCCTGAAGCCTGCTTTCACACAGTCATAGTACTGGTAGCCCTCACAGGTGCAGCCGTTTTGTATACATTTAGGACAGCAAGCGCCTTTTTCTAAAACATTTTCGATGCAGTTCTGGAGAACAGGACAGTCCACGCCTGTGCAGTCTCTCTGGCTTAGACAGACGTCCACGTACAAAATCATCGAACATAGAAACAATGTTGCTCTTTGCATGTTCATTTTCGATTTTTTTTTTTTGTATTCACTTCTTCAAAATAAGCCTCCAAATGACAAGGATGTTTGCATTCTTTAGCCTGTAAAAGTAAACAGTGATTATTGATATAAATTTCACAGCTATTATCAGAAGCATATTTTTCACTTAATGACCTGTCTGTTTTCATTTGACAACATGCCAGATGTACATATTTTCCATGCTTAATGTTTTGGCACCAGGGAGGGTGAAAGCTGCGGTTTATATTTTGATTGCACATGGAAATATGGCAAACGGTGATGTTGAGGGAAATATAAACAATAATACGCCAGCTACATTTCTCAGTGGTTGAAAAAAAAAATGTTGTTCAATAACAAAAACACCCTTCATACAATACAATAGTTCAGTATTCAAAAATCTGTCATCTGAGTGTCTGAATGCATGTAGTATATTCTTAAAAATCCTGTCTGCATCCCTAGATTATGGTGGATATGTTGACCGAGTCACTTGCTGATATCTTTCCATAATAATTGTTTTCAGCAAACTGTGCTCTTGCTGCTGCCTACACTGAATTAATATTTTAAGTACATCAGACACGTTGATCTATACAAAGAATTATACAGGAGCTATAAATCTTTTTCATTAAAGATCTGGAGCCTTTTCTTTGTATACAATACAGTGCAGAGACAGAGTGGCAAGATGCAGTCAGAGTGTGTCAAGCCTGATCCTGTGAGAAAAGTGATGTGACTTCAGATCAGAGAGCATACTGAAAACCAGGTGGTTTCTATTTTACTTTTCCTGTTTTTCCTCTCTGCTTGCTCTAGTGCCAAGCGCAAAACACTTATGTGACATTTCCTACTAAACAGTATGATTTTAAAATTAGAGAATAGCCCAAAACTGTTCTGCATGACAAACTTGTCTTAAGCGATTTCCTGCTGAAATGTTTCTAACTTAAACAGAGTTCTTCCTGAAGCTTATTCTGGCTGTAGCTCAGGTGGCAGAGCAGGGCAGCCACTAATCAGAAGAAGAAGATGGTTCGATCCCAGGCTGCCTCCGGGCTGCATGCCAAAAATCCTTGGGCAAGATACCAACCCCATGTTTGCCTACTGGTGGTGGTCAGAGGGCCTGGTGGCACCAGTGTCCGGCAGCCTCGCCTCTGTCAGTGCGCCCCAGGGAGCCAGTGTGTGAATGGGTGAATGACTGAATGTAGTGTGAAGCGCTTTGGGGTCCTTTGGGACTAGAAAAGTGCATACAAATGCAGGCCATTTATCACGTTTGCACCAGCAACATTGTGGAGCAGATCCCCACCCAGTGAAAAGCTGCTGTAGAGGGTAAGTAAGAGTGTATGCTCAAAGGTGAGTTTTTCTTAAGGATAAACACCTGACTTGGGTTCGATGCTATCTAAACATATGGCTTTGAAATCTTGTTGTAAGTTTGTTTTCATGTAACGTTGAGTAACTATTCAAAAAATATGAAATGCATCTACGCCAAGGTAATAAAATGAAGTCTAGATGTAATCACAATGGACTCCAGGTCAATAATGTGACATCTGTTGCCATGTCTTCTTTTCATAATTCAGGCACAGGCAGAACAACAAAGTGCTTTGCAGCTCCATTTAAAGAATCAATGATGTCTTTGTGCTCCTGCTGCAAAATCATTTTACCAGATCTTACAGCCTCTAACCAGCACTCTGTTGTGGTGCTTTAGCAGTGTTGAACTCAGCCCTAAAAGCACTAAAGCTTCTGCCTGTTTGTCTATAAAACCCATAGTAAGTGAAATGGTAAGTTAAACATGGAAAGGACCACTGATAAGGAAATCATAATGTTGAAAAATAGTCTGTGTTCGGCTCAGGTTCGGTTCGGCTCAGAAAATGTCCTGCAAAGCATTTCAATCTGTGTGTTTTGCCAACGCAGTAGCCAAAAGTTGACCTTTACCCTTGTGCCCACCGAGACACGCGCGCGTGCACGCAAAAACTTGTAAAAACCGCTTTTGCCCTCTGCGCAGGAGCAAACGCGCTGACTTGTCATAATTTAAACGTTTCCTTGATGGTTGATAAAACAGAGTGTCACACCTATTAAAGCAAAGCACAAACTTCCAAATCATTTACAATCATTTGTGATGAGCAACACCCCGCCTTAGAGGTGCCTTGACTGAACGTCTCAGTCACAGAGCCGCACATAAAGATTACATAACCGATGCTTTAATTCATTCATCAAATTATCCGGTCAGAACAAGAAACGGCAGTCCAAAACACTCAAACTAATATTAGCTGTAATTAGACTGTGCAATACAGAGTTTAATTTAAGCGTCTGTTCATATGCTCACGTCATGTTTCATGAGATCTAAGTGAAAATCAAAAGAAACTCATGTTTGCAAGTACTTTTTCAGTTTTATTTCTAAAAGTGCTTACCTCGCGTTCCAGGATCTTGCAGCGCTGGTGTGCTTCTGAGCAACAGTTGTGCGTAAAGTTCGGGCTCACTCTTTGGCTGGGAGCGCCTCCGCTCTCTTTTTTGGGGAAGGGCGGGACAGACTGCTATAGAATTATTTCCACCTTTTCCCAGCTTTTTCAGCTTCCTTTTGAGCATAATGATTCAGCCAAAGTACAAGAAATGACAACACTAAAATGTGCTTTGCGAGGAAAAAAATTAAGGAAGTTGAGGTTGTGTAAGCCTGTTTGGAAATGCAATCCAATGACGACAATGAAAAAACAGTGCCGAGTATGATGTGGTCTTATATGAATATAAGGACGATTTAAACATCACGTTTGTTCTTTGTTTTGTACGTATTGCACAATTCACCTTGAAATCCTGTACCTTAGCAGCCAGATTAACACGTTTACTCACAAGTAAAGCTCATACCAGCATTATAGACATCACATGTTGTCTGTGATCTTTTTCAATGGGGTTTTAGAGAAAGCTGTAAGTGTATTACATCTTAAATTTTTCAGACGGGATAAAAAAGGACTCCTCTGTGAATTCTATCTTTTCTACGTTTTCGCTGTTGTTGTTTTTTCCAGTTTAAACTTAAGGAATCACAGAGTCACTTTAGGAATAAAAACAAACAAAAGCTGCCTGGTTTGGTGAATAGACCGATCAGCCAAGCGGATGGGCAAGTGGCCACTTTGTTTCAGGGCCCTCCCTTGACTAATCAATGACATGGATGAGGCAGTTGCCCTATTATTAGTATTCTCTGCTTATTATAATCAAATGCAGGAACATTTGCACAAGTCACACTCTTGTGTGACCTCCCAGGTTCTTATATGTATGTCCTGCTCAAATGATATCTTTATGTCTCATCTAGTACACAGTTCAGAATAACTACTCTGCTTTACATCTTTGTGACTTCTTTACAGTGCATGGATCACAGAATCCAAGGAAACAGCGCATCCAAGTCCTTGACAGCCCATTTAAACGTGGTTGCACAACTTAGATTAGTGCATGAGTCAGCTACAATTTTTTTTTCATGGGTCAGTGATATGATCTCATCCAGAACGCCTGGTAGGCAACTTGTGTTATACCCCAGCAGGAGAAACATGTATGACGTCCACTGGACTCAAGTTCATCCTTGAACTGACCCACACATAAGATAATTAAAAATCAGAACAAATGAGCTAAGTGGTTGGGGAGCTATTCTGCAGAGAGACTGTTGTCACGCCTTTGCAGAGCATTGCCCTGCTATGTGTTGCCATTGTGTAGCTGTTAAAACATAGCTACACAATGGCCATCAGCTCCTGACCTTTAGACTGAGTGGCAGGCAAGTAAAATTCCCATCAAAAGTATTAAAGTTTTGCAGGAGCCTTTCTTCCACAGACAAATGACAAAGCTGATATAAAACAGATTTCCTGTTTGCACCTGCAGTATTATGCATGTTAAAATGCACTTTACTTACACTTTTGGTAATTACCACAACAATTTCAACAACCACATATGCTGGTTTCAGTTCTAAATTGTACTAAAACCAACACATTGTACCAGATTCAACATACTATACAATTAAAATGAGGCCTGTAATTAACAATGTTTTAACAGAAATGAAATCCTAAATGCCTCAGGCTTTGCAGATTTCAGAACATTGGAGGATCTCAGACTCCACAGAGATGTTTTCATGTTACAAGCAGGGACCAAACGATCTTTTCCCCCACAGTAGTTGACCCCACTGACTCTTCTGGGTCTTGAAACTCTCAGTGCAGTAATAGCTCTCAGCCGGTGAGATAATGTCATCTGACACGCACTGATTTAGGAGAGCTAATTGCACCCCACACTGTTGTAATTTCTTATTCATGCATGTTTGAATGGTGACTTATGGCCACTGATAATTGCCCAAGCCCAATAACTGCACCTCTGCTTTGTATTATCCTACCAAATGGACAATTTTGCTTTATTATGCAAGAAATATTGAATTAAAGTTTCATACAAAGTGTTTATTTATTTTTTTATCGAGAGCAGTGACGTCTTTCTATCCTCAGTTCATTTGATGGTGACAGTGCTACGCATTAATGCAGTTGGAGTTAATGTTATCTTTCCATTTGGTGATACATTGTCTTCTGCTTTTGTTTAAATAGGAGTGTTGGATAGTATTTGTTGTGACCCTTGCTAAGTAACAAGCAATATGAAATGGTGTCAGCTGATGGATTGCATATATTTTAATAGTAATTAAACAAAATGTCTCTATAATCATCGTAACACATAATGTGATTAAAACACTGAGCAATACAGTTCGTCAGCCCGAATCCTATCAATAAGTACATGCAAACAGAATATTCCAGATAAATCTTCTAACAATACCGGTCACCAGAAACAAACCCTAACATCTGGCTAATGAACTGTAAATGTTGTAAAACCTCTTAATGAAAATGTCCCTCTTGTGCATTCCAATATGTTTCTTGTCATTGCTCTGCTGCAGGTCCACTGGATAAAGTGAAGAGAGGAAGTCTTTAAAGTAACCAGCAACGACAGGGCACTAAAGCTCTGCAGGGGGCTACACCATTGGAAATTAGGACCCAAGTATAATGCGGTGAAAGTAGCTCCCCACATGTGTCTGCTAAAGACTTTCCAGGCTGCTGTAAAGAGCCATGTCTGCTGATAAAGGGTGCAGCCCCATAGCGCAACTGGCTTTAGTTAAACTACAGCAAAATGTTGGATTCTACTTGGTTTGTTAATTAAATATCTAACAGTCTGTAGTGGGTCATTAAATATTAAATGTCACTTAAATAGAATCACTTCTGCAAAATTACAATGCCCACGATCATTAATGTGCAGAGCTGCAAACCCAAGCCCACTGAGCTCAGACTGCTGGCCATGCTAAGGAAATGGCAAGGGAATTTAAAGCATGCTGTAGATTGTGTAAGTGGATTTAATACTTGCAGCACAGCTCTTTAGCCCTCCCTGTTCTGCCTGTTTTACTTTATGTAGACCATGTTAATCTGTAAGTAAAAAGGTGTTTTACTTCTCAAGGGAAATGTCGATATTTAAAGATTTTTTTCTTCTGTTATAATTCATAAAAACATCACCTAATGTAGCGTTGCACAGAGTAAAAAAAAACCCAAAAAACAAACCCTGTGGACATCTATGCTCTTATCACAGAGTTGTACCATGGTAATCATTTGTACCACTCCCATCTCCCTGTCCCTTTTTACATTTCTTGGAACACCCAAGAAAGTTCCCCGAGGCAAAGGCTTATTTCACCGGATAGTAACACCTTTTATTATGCCTACCTACAGCAGCTTTTACTGCGCCTCACACCTAGGGGACCTTTAAGGTTTTCGCTTCCAAAGCTATTTGAAGAAGTGACCCCTCCAAAGCCTATTACATTTCTGGTGAAAGGAGAACCACCATTTGAGAAGATTGCCAATAAGTAAGAGCTTAAGTAATCGCTATGGCCTTCTGCACCCACTTGTTTAGACCAAGCCAAGCATGGTGGCCAAGAAAGGTTCCTGATTTAAAACCAGGAAGGATGTGACTGCTGATGCATACCAGATGAGGAGACAATACATAAGATTGCCAAGTTCTGCAGGCATTTGTGATGCAGGAAGATGTTTAATGCACAACGTATGAGTGCTGCAACATAATTTTGGACTCACAGTGTAGGTGAAAAGCTTTGAATGACCATTACCTAATTTTTAAGTGGTTTCCCATTACAACACATTGGAAAGTGAAATGGTAACCCTTAAAAAATAATGGTTAGTTAAATCTTCTGCATAAATATTCCCATCTATTTGAGAATTTATTTGAGAAGAAATCACATAAAAATCTATCTATTACCAAGAAACTACTCATATTGAGTACAAACACATTTGCCTTGGAATGAGCTCAGTCCTCCGCTTTGTGTTTTGTAGTCTTGAGCCTCCTCCTGCACTCACAGAGCGTGACATTCAGGTATTGTTTTCCATGTTCACAGACATTACATCATTCACTCCTAACATCAATTATATGTGAGCTGCCCATGGACAGGGTACAAAGATGAAACTAAATGTGGTACTGGAGCTTTCACAGTGCAGCCTTGTCAAAGTAAATGAAAGCTTTATTTTCTTCTCGGGTTTCATTCTCAACTGGTATTACTGCACTAAAGAAAGATGTGTGACTTTATTTCAACCCCAAAACAGCTTGAAAAAGTCAAAACGAGTTGAAACAGCCATCACTTTAGTTCACGCTCCTTGTATAGAGTGAACGTACGCTGCATCTATCATATATTTTGAATGCAACTTCATTGGTGATATTAAAATCTGCTGTAACACAGCGCCAGACAGTGATGGACCTTTTTTTGTTAATGCTGTCTGACGAAAACAATATGTCACCTTTGGCACAAAGCAGCATTATGTAAAACATATCAAAACCACAGTGCATCTGCTAATCAAATCGTGTCTATGTGTCTAGAAGATGAACAATTCAGGAGGAGCATTGCTGTATTAACTTCAAAGGAGACGGGAGGACGGATCAGAAATAATGCTGCTGCCAGTTGAATCCGCAGTGTATAATTAACAGTCTGTTAACAATTTATGTTTTATCTCAGGACCAATTTTTAATGCCAGAAATGATCTCACACACAAGGGGAAATAAGATTTGAGATTTAGAGCATTGCCCTTGATTTTTTCACGCATTAATCTTTCAAACACATCACCATTCAGCTCATTTTTATTCATATGGCTTCAAATCATTGTTCATTTGATAAATGCTGCAGTCTTTCAAGGGAATTTAAAATGAACTTTTTATGTTACTGTTATCTATGCCTGATGACAAACAGGTAGCTGTCAGTGACACCTAGGGGTAAAAAGTTGAGCATTGCATGTTCATGATTAATACTCGAGGCCCAAACAAGCAAATATTGGTAGATTTTCTTTAAATACATCAATAAAATAAATGTAATAAGCAGATGTGAATGATTTCTGCCATGATGTGTGAATCATAGACTATGGGTTTAAAAACCTGTCATAAAGTACAAATTTTCTTTATAACAGTTACTTATGGCAGCTAGCCTCTAAATCATATGCAATTTATAGTCAGTCAGATGTTTTGACAGAGCTGAAATCCAACCATCTATTGATTTATCAGCTGGATGGATGTTTTTCAGGATCACAGTTGGGTTGGTG